CCATGTCTTTAGATTTTCAACAACACATTGGTGGGTTATTTTTGTCCTTTGCCATGACTTGCCACAGTCTCCCCATGTTCCTTTTGGCCCTGTGTTCCCATCTGAAGTCTGATTTTCTTTCACCTTAAATCAAGACATAAAGGGATATTTTCCAGGGAAGAAGAATTCAGTGATATGGGGTTAGATTAGATAGGACTTTATAGATTTTTATGGAATTTTCTTTTCTTTCTCATTATAGGGGAGGAAATAAAATAAAAGCAGCCCCTGTTAAATGTAATAGCATCATCCCCAGTTCCAGGTCTAATCTGGAAGGAGAACTGGTGGAGCATTAAGGCCAGCCCTGGGCTGGTGGTCCAAGGCCCAGGCCTGAAATATGTGACGGGGAACCTAGACTGCAAATCACCAGCCCTTGCCTGACAGAGGTGCAAATGCCAGTGTTGTTATTTCTCTGCGGTGTGATGCTGGTGCAAGACTCTTTTGCCCCTCCTTGTACACCTCCTCCCACCTACTTAGTTCTACCTTTGAGAGTTCTAGACTAAGCCAAAAAATCACTTCTCACTGTTTTGGGGGGAGCAACCATACCATTTGACTAGAGGTATAACAGCTCCTATGGGTGTCTTTCTCATTATCTATCTGTCTGTCTCCTCCCCCACACTTGTCAGTATGCCCTATGGAAAATTAAACATTGTTGCCACATGGAAATAGAACCCAAGGTGGGAAATGGTGTTCATTTGTACAACACAGGAAAGGCTAGGAAAGAGACAAGTCCAGGGTAACCTTTGTAAACTGAAAAATGTCCATCTAATTGTATTTGTAATAAAAATGCTCACTGCTAGTGGTGTCATGGTGAGAAGGACTTCCTAGCATTGGTGAATTTAAGTTGGTAGAACCTTTCTGGAAAGCTCTTTGGCAGGATATAGTAAGACCTTTAAAGGAAACTCCTAGCTTTTGACCCACTAATTTTACTTCCAGGAATTTATGCTAAGGAAACAATTGAGACACAGGCAATGATCCTCTACAAGGATGTGAGTTGCAGTACTATTTATAATAGCTAACAGGAGATAGTAATCTAATGTATACAGTAAGAGAGTGATTACATAAATCAGGGTATACTGTACAATGGGGCACCCTGTAATCGAATTTAAGATATGTTATCAAAGACTATCTAATAACATTGGAAAACACCTTATGTTAACAAAGAAAGCCAGGCTAGTAACTGTATGTAGTATTAGTTCCCCCCAAAAGTGAGGGGGACTATGTCAAGACATTAACAGTGATTATCAGTAGTTTAAATTATGTATGTTTTTATTACTTTTCTTCTTGCTTTTTTGGTATTTTCCAATTTTCCACAAGGCCATCTGTAATTTTGATTCTCAGAATGTAAAATGATGAACTTTTTTCATGATGAACTTCCTCTTCCAGTAAGGGAAGCTCTCACCTTGTAGCAGCTTTACTCCCGTGGTGTGGAGACCTGAAAGGGGCTGCCATGTCTATTGTCAGGTTGGGAGCCTGGCTGGGCAACCCTGCCACAGTTCACAGTTCATGCCCTGGCTGGTACACCAGACGCTCCATCATTCAAGTGAGTCACCACAGAAGGGTGTCACGCTGATGATACTGCTACACACTGTACTTGAACTAGTAGCCTCAATCCAGCATGTTACCAAGCCTTTTAGCCTTATCTTCCTAAACTGTTATTATTTTACTGTCCAGTGAATGTCCTAGGGACTGGCTGGAACTGTGTGACTCCTTTTGAGGACACTGTGGGCCAGAAGACTCACGCTGATGCAAGCCTTCCAACTGAATCCAAACCAGACCAGCCAATGTTGCTTCATGCTAAAGTTTAAGCTGTGTTGTTGCTGTCATTGGGCCTTGATGTGGGATCCTGGTAGGACTCCAGAAATATTTAGGGGTGCTGGGGTGTTCAACTCAGATACTCCCAGCTGGACTCTGTTGGTTGTAGAGGCCTTTGGGACCTCTGCTAAAATTGTAGTTATAAAATTATTTCTCCTATTTTGATCTCAATTATTTGTTACTCTTGGCCTCATCAGTGGGAAAAGTAACCTACAGCTACACACTTCTGTAGTGAAAGGAGAATTTAAGATTTTACAAAGAGTTGTGAGCCATTATCATCATCCCTGTGCATCTTTTGCACATGTATGTGTTCTCTATTAGTTTTGTATCAAAATTGAAATATAGCATGCTCTCTATTTTTTAGAGGAGCCTCTATGTGTTCATAGTCCTTCTGTTGCTACAGGCATCATTGTGGTATATAAAAATGTGTAGTAGTGTTGATGATAGTGATGTTTATTGGCATGACTCCGAAATACAAATAAACAAAAGGCATAATAATTCTTTTAGTAGTTTAAAAATCATAGAAGTACTATGGAGTATGCGTTTTATTATTATATTAACTCAGAGTGACAATAAATTTTAAGTTGCTGTCATTTTATAGCAAATAAATGTTATTGCTATGACTAAAGCAAACAAACAAATGAAATTCTGTTTGTTCTTAAAATCTGCAGTTAAATGTGCTGTGGCAATAGACATGGGATTGAAGAGTAATTTATTATGATAGTTATAATTACTCTGCATTCCAGCCACACCCCCAGATCATTTCAGTCATGTACTACTGGCCAGGAACCACTCAGATAGCCAAGGATGTGAGAAGCATTCAGAACCCACGTTGGGTTCATAGAATATCTTCCCAACATTGCTTTTAGCCAAATGCATGATTCTTAATACAGATAGAATAGGAAGCTGGAGGTGTTTCCTACTAAAATCTTTCTTTTTTTTTTTTAAGTTGTAAGGACTTTTTAATTGTCCTGTGGTAACCACTGGCCTAAAAAAACAGACTAGTCCAGGCCTCTGGACCTGGGCTGTCCTCTTGACCCTCCAGATTGTCCCTGTCTGGGGTCCTGGGTTGGGCCACCATTCTGAAGTTGTTGTAGCCCTTGCCTCTAGGTCATTATCTAAGGGAGCACAGCTGTGGCAGGAGGACTGTGAAGCTGAGGCTTCTCCCACCAGCAGCTACTAGGGAGGAAACTGGGTTCTGCACAGTTGAAAGGAGGCAACACAACTCTTCTCCCAGAACTTGAGGCAGAATCAAGCGGGAGCAGGTATTAAACTAATAATAGAGTAGCTTATCCTTCAGCTGATGGATCTTACTGTCTTACATTACAGTCGTGTTTTAATCTGTGCCATCTTGTCAAATACATTTTAAGCTCTTGAAGTCAGGGACCTTGGCACTGACTAATTCCACTGATTGTTTTGATCATACCAGGCACCCAATGACTAGTCTTTGGTGGATTAAGACTTAAAAAAAAACAAAAAAAAACCCACTCTCTTATGTGAATTCCATCTGCTATATGGCTCTACCAGATAGAGAAAACTGAAGGCAGGACTGGGAATTTTGTTGGAATTTACAATATATTGTGTCTTGTAAAGTATATCTGTTCCCATTTTCCCTTGCAAATATGGTAGGCATGTAAAGGAAATTCATAAATCAGTGGCTAAGAAGATTCCATGTTGTGCATGAGTCTGTGAAGAGCTTGGCACAACCTGAAGGAACAGAGCAAGTTCTACTTTCCCAGAGGCAGTACAGTGGTAGCAAGAGCCCTGGGCTTGCAGTCAGGACTGGGATCTGAACCGTAGCCATGTCACTTATAGGATGGACATCCTCAGGCAAGTCTCGGCTTAGCCCAAGTGTCCACGTCTGTGACAGGAAAATTATAATCATGCCTGTTTGCAGGCCTGTTGGGTGGGTTAAATGAGATTTGTTAATTTGCTAAATAATTATCTTTTGAATACCTTCAGGCACTATTTTAGACATTGGAGACACAGCAGTAAAGAAAATAGACAAAAATCTCTGCCCTCATGGAATTTATATTCTAGAACTATAATACACATAACATAATTTAATAAATGTTTAATCAAATTAGTCCCACTAAGCAGACATTTATGTGTTCTTGCTAAATCCCAGTATGCTTAGAAAGTCCGTTCTCTTGAATTGGATTTCTATCACTTTCACCCCATAAAGTGCTTGGTTCAACAGTTCAGCAGTCAGCTGAGAGTCAGGGGCTGCAGGTGGTAGTGTGCCTGAGTGGTTTCCACATTCTCTCAGTCATCAATGTTTGCACTATCTGTGACTTCTGAGAGTTGCTAAGGTGTTTGTGCAATTTGTGGAAATAAGTCAAAGGGCCAGCATGACCAATTAAAATCCACAAGCCACATATCAATAATAATTTCAACATTTCCTCTCCAGACTTTTGATTAGCCACCCATCAAAGAACAAAATGGACATACTGAAGGATTCGGTTCATTTTTTTCACCACCTTCCCTCTGAGGCTTTTTCTTTGAGCATCAGAATGCCCAAGATCCAGAAACAGCAAAGGGGCAGGCCTGAGTAACGAGCCTCAGGGAAACAGCTCTGCAAGTGACGCATGCCATCTCCTGAGAGGTGTGTGCTCATACGCATTTCCACACGCTGTCACTTTCCTAGCGCAGTGTTTCGGCGCGCCAATGGCACATAGCCCATTTAGTCAAAAATGCAAACAGGAAATTGTTTCCTGACTGAATGGCCTTTGTGGCCCAGAAAAAAATGGTCATTTCTACTGAGACATACTCACACAACAGCGGGAGCTAAGGGCTTGTTGAAAGAAAGCCCTGCCTCAGAACAAGGCTGGTGATAGGACATGGGTTCAAGGTATTCGTCATCCATGGCCAAAGGTACAGTGGACATGGCTGAAGAAGCTCCTATCACCTGGAAAGCAGTTGTTCTGCAGGACAAAGCCTGTTTTGTTCCAAGGAGTTACGTAGCAGATGTTACGTGGACATAGAGCTTTGGTCTGGAGGAATGTGACGTATGCTGACACCATGTCCCTGGGTTCCAGTGCTGCTCTGCTCCACTCCAGCTCCCCATCATTTGGCCTCCCGTGACCTCCTGTGCTCCCATTGTGGTTTCCCTGTGTGCTGATGAGTTTTCTGGTTGTTATGTCTTGCAGCCCCCCGAATGCAAGCCCAACTTCACCCCTCTCGCCATCTTGGCCCATGTTCTCGGCGCCATCCAGCCCTATGCCCACCTCATCCACGTCCAGCGACTCATCCCCCGTCAGGTCTGTTGCAGGGTTTGTTTGGTTTTCTGTTGCTGCTGTTGTTCTCTCATTGGCTTGGTCCTCTCTTCATGCAGTGTTCAGCCTCCTCGTCAACTTTGTTCCCTGCCATCCAAACCTGCACTTGCTTTTTGACAGGCCAGAAGAAGCGGTTCATGAAGACTCCAGGTAAAATCTCGGATGATAACCAATCTGTTCCTGTTTATCCAAAGCTGGTCAGGGACAACAGGGGGCTGCCTCTGCTCTCCAGTGGTTTCATCCTAAGAGACCAAAGCCAGAAGGGACCATTTGCATGAACCAGCATGGCACTTGTCACACCTTTTAACCCTAACTCAAGTTTCTGATTAATCTCTGGTGCCTGGAGTTTGGGAAGAGAGCACCTCCTGAATGAGACTCCTGTTCTGATGGCTCTGAGTTGTGTGGGCTCTCTGTGCTTCGGTATAAGGTCATATAAGAGGGAACAGTGTTGAGATTTGTGCTGGCCTTTTCTTCTCTCATTTTTATCAGGTAGCATCAGGCAACATTTATTTGTGGGGTTGGGCCACTGGCCATGAGCACAGACACCTAGTCGCTGAGACCAGATCCACTGGGTGAGAGACGAATGTAACAGAATAAACGCTCAAGATGTGAAGCCATTTCTCTTAAATTGCTCATGGCTGCTGGCTCCTTGTCCTCCGTATACTCCAAGAGTCAGCCGTGCTCCCAGCCTGCTTATCTCTGTGTGTGTCGTGAACCCTGAGCTCTCATGGGAACGGGTACCACCTCTTCTGAGGGTGAGCAGCTTGACCTCCTTCCTCTCCCCAAGGGCCATGCTGTAGGCTCCCTGCTTTTGGGACGTTCATACTTAAGGGCCAGTTATTTACTCTGGTGCTCTTTGGAGAAAAGAAGCTCTTTAAATCCAGGAAAAGAATTAAGAAAGATCTTGCAGAAAACCTCTGTTGTGTAGGTCCCAAGCATCGTTCTGTCTTGAACTTAGTCTCTGCTTTCAGAAAACTAAGTTCTAGAGCCCAGTTATACACATCATAAATGCATTGGGCTTTAGTGGAGTTTACTTGTCCATCTTTTTCTCCAAAGTATGGAACCAGTAGGGAGGCTTAAGTAATTTATAATGCCAAGTCTCATTTTTAATTAAAGAAAACCCCATACATCTATTACTTTATTCCCTATGAGGCACTTTCACATCTGTCATTTCATGCTCTCCTCGTGTGAGAATGAGAAGGGAAATGGCCTGAACCCTATGATAGAAAAAGGAAACTAAGGCACAGTGAGGTGACCTGGACACAGTCACATGACTAAACAAGAGCCAGTCCAGAATTCAGGACCTCTCCTTTGCAATACAGCACTCTTTCCTCCAAACATGGGGGGTAACCCTGACTTCAAGTTTCCCTGCAGCTCCCTGCCCAGAGCCCGGCCTGCACTTTTAGGTTTGATATGGCTTTCTACCTAGCTTTGTCCTGGGTGCTGGGAAAGAGCTTTCCAGTGTATTTTTGTCCTCACCCTACAAATAAGCTAAAAGTTCAGGTCACATTTTTCTGACATTCAGATTACTTCCTAATTATTTCTTAGACATCTTCTGTGCACTTGGGGAGACGTTAACTTTCTAGGATACCAGAGATGGTATAGATTATTTTGACTAGATCATGAGGACCTGGACTAGAGCAAGCTGCAGTGACCAGAGATGGTTGCCTTCCAAAATGCCTCACTTGTTCGACAGACTTGGGCATTTGGAGAATGCGGCGCCTTCATTTTCATCAAAAGAAAATAAAATATTGAAAACACTGGACCCTTGGACAAAATGAGTTAAGGGACTCAGGACAGTAGAATTATTCAGCTAAAAACCTGAAATGTACTCTCTGCTTTGATGGTACTAACTTTTTTGTGTCTCTGAGCTATGGGGCCCTTGTTGCTGGTCAAGTATCTCTACCTCTCCACTCCTTTCCATCTCCCAAAATATTTCCAGATTTTTTTTTTTTTCCAGCTACTTCTTTCTACCTCCCAAAGTATTTCCAGATAGGCAGAGGACATAGCAATAGAATCTGCTCACCTGGTATGTTTGGGGTCTTGGTTACTCAGTACTACCCCCTCTGGCCATTGTTAGAATAGCACCATTTGGACACCCTTTAGGAAGCTGACATCTTGAAACAGGCAAGGCAGAGCAGGACTTGGAGTTGGCTGTCACTGGGCTAAATGTGTGTGCCAAGGTGAGCACAGGTAGGGACACTGCTGAGGAGCTAACCCATCAGAGCAATAGAGAGGGCCTAAATCCTCTAATTGCTATTGCAGTGTACAGCCAAGAGATGGGGGCATTTACCCATTATTCAGGTCCCATTCATTCATGACCCATTGTCCAGGGGGTCCTTCCCTCAAATCTGCTTCCAGAGCATGAGAAGCTTCAGATTTCCTTTCCTGAGCAAAGCTTTTAAAAATAAATCCTGAATTATACCTAATTAATGGTCCCATGAACTTCTGAGGATGTCTTCCCTGGAAACTGTTTCCTATCCCCTCTTCAAACCATTTATAGAGCTTGTTTGTTCAAGCTCAGGAACGAAGATGCCTTTTGCGGCACTGCAGGGAAAGGGCAATGGAGGAGATTTTCCTTCATTGTCCCTTTTTTTTCACTCCCCCCCCCCAAGAAAACCCCTGGCCCCAAACTCATAACTTGCGTTCACACAAGGGCCCCTGGAAATTGTGCCTAAATGATCTTGTCATTGCCACCTGCCAGTCTAGCTGGCCCCACCTCCCTGTAGTGCTGTCTGATAGAGAGCAGTCTGTCATCTTGCAAGGCTTGCAAGGGCATTTGAGGGAAACTCCTCTGAGTGCTTTCCAGGCCTCGTGCCATGCTCAGAGGCGAAAATTAAAAGTGAACTAGCAGAAGAATCCAAACTTGTTCATGCCCTTTAAGGCCCAACTGAGGTCTGAAGGACTCTGTGACAGGAGCAGGTGAAACTACCCTGGGCTCTCTGTGTCCAATGTTGAGAAGCACTGCAGAGAGCAGGGAGCCAAAGAACCAAAGATGCTAAGTGGGGACTTTTAAATTTTTTAACCAGAGCCAAGGCCTACAAACACAACCTCTCTGCCAACGGGGTTTGTCTGTTTGGGTAGGAACCCTACTTAGAGCAAACCACTCAAGACTTTTGAGGAGTTATGGGACATTGGACTTGGGCTGACAAACTTTTAAAAAGATAAGATTGTCGCCTTGGCAGGGTTGCCAGATTTAGCAAACAGAATAAAAATTCAGCATTCCCAGTTAAATTTTAATTGTAGATAAACAATAAATAATTGTTTAGCTTATGTATGTCCCTTGCCATATCTGGAACATATGTGTACTAAAAAAAAATGTATTGTTTATCTGAAATTCAAATTGAACTTGGTGTCCTGTATTTTACCTGGCGACCCTACTCCTGGGTAACAGGAGTAGCTCCTTTTAAAAGCAACCCTTCTGGCGGGGCACAGTGGTGCACACCTGTAATCCCAGCATTTGGGGAGGCCAAGCTGAGAGAATCCCTTGAGCCCAGGAGTTTGAGGCCAGCCTGGGCAACATTTCTCTATAAAAAATACAGAAATTATCCAGGTGTGGTGGCATGCACCTGTAGTCCCAGCTACACGGGAGACCAAGGCAGAAGGACCACCTGAGCCCAGGAGGTTGAGGCTGGAGTGAGCCGTGGTCATACCACTGCACTCCAACCTGAGTGACAGAGTGAGACTTCGAATCAGAAAAAAAGAAAGAAAAAAAAACCAGTCCTTCTGTCAACCCTCCCATTTTTGTGCCCATCCTAAGGGAGTGGGGAGGTCTTAGGAAAAGACCCTCTCATAGACTGTCAGTCACCTACTCTAAGTTGAAAGAGAACCAAGACTCTTTCCTGACCTTTGTGTTAATTTTTAACATACTATTTTATCGCCACTTCATTATTTAATTCCAAAAACGTAAGGTTAGTGAAAGTGACTCCTATGAACGATAATCCTGGACTCCTGAGACCTTTCCCTTTGCTTTCTTTCTGCCAGAAATCTCCCTAGGCTTGCCCTTGTTTTGTCCCATTACCTTTATTTAATGAGGCTAATAAATAACCTTTGCAAAAACCGGCCAGAGGAACCTGGGCTCAGGTGCTGCTCCCCCCACTTTCGTTCCCCCCTTTGCTGGTCTCTGCACTTTGCCCACCTCTCTACCCTGTTCTGAGAGACTCTAGGACCTGGCTTATGTGGACTGGATTCACCTTTTACCTTCAGTACCACTGGCCCGTCCATGCAGTTTTTTGATTTTTTTTTTAGCTGTTTTAACACTTTTCACAGCCAGGTCACTCCTCTCCCCTGCTTCCCACCCCAGGAAAAAAAAAAAGACTTTATGTTTCTCCCTAGAAAGGCCTCCATTGGACGTGTTTGGTCCTTGCTAGCCAACACGCAGACTTGGTTTAGTCAGATCCCTTGTGCTGAACTTCCGTTATAATTAGACAGGAAGAACTGTTTTCCACTTGGAGCCGATACATACCGAAGGCTCCGCATTCCTTCATTCCCAGCAGTCCCATGTTGTTTTCTCCCACTTTCCAACGTTCTCCCACCTGGCCATCCTCTCTTGGCTGCTAGAAAACCTGAGGGAACAGTAAACCACCCCAGCAACAAATCCTGGATAATCATTTTCTCTGATCACCCTGCACAGCAGAGACCGTATGGCCTGCAAAGCCTAAGATATGCACCTCCTGGCCCTTCACAGAAAGGTTGCCAGCCTCTGCTCTGGAGCTGTAGGTTCTCAACCATGGCTGCACATTGGAATCACTTTTTAGAAATACCAGTGCCTTGATTTATATCTCCAAATGGGGTAGAGCTCAGACATCTGCACATTTCAAAGATGCCCCAGGTGATTCTGATGCACAGTTAAAGTGGTTATCAGCACTCACTGGCCATGAGAGGGACAAAAAAATATGCACCATGTCCCCTCTCTTTTTCTCCTCCTCATGCTTCCCACACACATGCACAACCACTCACACACACTTTTGTGTCCTGCACTGCCGGGGGGCGGGGGGGGGGGGGG